GTCCGCATCTTGTACAGCAGTTAACCACTAGGAAGAATGTATGCAATGTGTTTATTATTGAAACTATCGTACCAATTTGGTTTGAAACTGTCTCATTGCTATTTATTTCTCAATAAAATTATGGAAAAAAAAAACAAAGGAAAAAAAAAAGAGCCAGTGAGATAGCTGAGCTGACTAAGGGCCTGTTCAACCAAGCCCAAGGACCCAGGTTTGATCCCCGGTACCACATGCCATGACAGCTGTGTTCCCAGGCATGGGGACCTGCCGCTGAGTCCGGGCATAGTGGCACATACCTGTAAGCCCAGTGCTGGGGAGGCTGAAAACAGAAGGATCACTATGAGTCCAAGATGTATAGTGAGACCCTGTACCAAATACATTTGAATACATTTGAAAAAAAATACAGTTTCAGGTGACCACACATTGTAGGATTTTTTAAAATGTAGAATATTTATATTAAAGTATAAATTATGTATATAGTATGTGACATGCACAAATATTAAGTATAGTGAGGGGTGAACATGAAACCAACCTTTCACTACCTCCGAAGGGTGCCCCATATTCTTTTCTACTTTTCTAGCCAATAATTGTCATCCAGCCCAAAAGAGTTCATATTCTGATTCCACTTGTATGACATTCTAGATTGTAGCTTTTTAAAATATATATTTTAATGAAATACTAAAAAATTATGATAGTCCCACTTTTAAATCATGTACATGTACATCTGTTTATATAAGAACATGTACACTTAAGTACATTAATTGATCCATTTTCTTAGTGATAAAAACATGAAAATGGGCAGACAAAACTATAGAGAACAGATTAGCATTCCAAGGGAACAAGTATGAGGAAGGCTGGGGAGCACGCAGCCAGACGGGCGCGCCCGAGCTGCTCCGTGGTGATGGGGCAGTCCTGTATCTGGGAGGGGTGGTGCTCACATACATGTAGATACTGGACAAAATTGCTTTAGACTTGCTTGCTTGAGCACATTATTTGATAATTATTTTTATTAAAAAAACAGATATTTCCAACCACTTGGAAATTCAGAAAAAGGTAGAACTGAGGTATTTCAGCAAAAAGCCAGAGATGCCAAGTCCTTTATACACAACAAAGGGCCAGGGGCTTTTCTCAATGGAAACGATGTAGCACGGTAGCCCTGGGTTGCCAGTTCCAGCTGCAGCTTCCTAGCTGTGAACATCCTGTTAAGCATGGTTCTGGATTAAAGATTGCCTAGGGTCTGGCATCTCTGGTTCCTTGCTGAAACACCTCGGTTCTTTTTCTGAATTTTCAAATGGTTGGAAATGTCTGGGTTTTGATTAAAAGTAATCATCAAATACAATTTGATCGCTCTCATTGAGAAACTAAGTCCTTAACAGAAGCTTTTGGCTTTATCAGGTGAGGCTCTCCCTTGCACTGAAGCCTCCAAGTGTTGTGCTCATTGTTCTGAGCCTCAGCTCCTTCCTTAGCTTGGTCATTGGTTCCCACCACACAAAAAGGCTCCAGCTTGACACGGAAGGAACCAGAAGTTATGGAAATGAGGCTTAGATAAGTTCTAAAAAGTATCAACTTGTCAAAAATGCTGAACTTGTAAGAAGAATGTGTATTTTCTACAGCTTTATGCTCCCAATGACGTTTATCAGGTAGACCTAGAAGCAAGGTAATTGGTTTCCTGTGCGAGAAAGCTGCTGCTTGGGTGGTAGAAGAGTAATGACACAAATCTCCAGGTCCAAGATTCTTTCCTTAGTCATAACACACAAGTCTGTAGTAGGTATATGGGTGTGAAATTTTGCTTGAGTGTAGTGTCTGAGACCCGCCTTGCAAAGACCACTGCGCCTTTCAGGGCTGTGCAGGCATTGTTACCACACAAAGGCTTGGTGTGGTGTGCTCTCTGCTCATGGGCTGGGAGGGAGCGTTGAGGCAAGTCAGTGGTTGAAAAGCACTTCCTTAGTGTCCTAGCTGATTGCCAGACAGAGGGCCACCCCGTCCTACACGCCATTTTTCCAAGAGGCTGACATAGAGGCAGCTTATCTAGGAGATGCAGGAGTCCACACTAGGGAGTGCCTTTCCACAGAGGCTTGTCAGATGACGTACGTCGGAGCCTAACTAGCTATGCAAGATGCTTCGCAGTTGTGCACTCTCGGGAGCAAAGGCCATCATTTCCTGGGCATGTTGGTGTCACTGGCAGTTTGCCCATGTGTGGCTCTTGACATATTGAGGCAGTTGACAGGTTAGAGATGGACGCCATGCCAGGCCTCTTGCTGGTCACCAAACCTACAATAATAAAGGAAAGCACAGTTCTCGCCATTATGTGGAAGACAAGGATCAGCTAAAGAGGTAGTTAGGCGTGAGATCTGGTCTCCGTCCTCAGCTTTAATACTTTCTGTAATTGTTTATTTTATCAGTGTAATGAAAATTTCCCTCAAAAAGAAATTTCTGAGGCTGGAATTGATGGTAAATATCTGTTGGGGTTGGTTTTCTGTAGTGAAATTACTGTCTTTTTGCAGCTATTTCTTAGAGTTCTTCAGTCCTAATGTAGCACAGTCCATCCTAAGATGAAAACAGCCCTGCAAGGAAGCTTTCAGGGCCTGCCCGTTGTTACTCTAATGTAGAGGAATTTTGTAGCACTAGGAGCGGCACATTTTTACTTGTTCCAAATTAAAGGTGTGTTCCTGTGTTACACCATAAATTTGGTTGTAAGTATTAAGGAAATACTAACTCATCTTATTCTGAAGAGCATGAAATTATAATTTAAATGCAAATATCTTCCCTAAAGGCCCTCCTCTGCCCAAGGTCATCTGTTCTGCATCATATCGTGTACCTTTGTAACCTCATCTGAATCTCACACCTGCCCCTCCTCCTTTTGAAATTTTCTGTCAAACTGAAAGAAACATTTTTTGGTTGACAAATTAGACTTCACATAAAAAGGAATTTATGCAAAAATTATATTCTTTCCTAAAGAGTTCATATGTACATGTGTCTTTGAAAATTATTGTGTGTACATCATTAATTTTGACTTATGTTTTTAACAGAGTTAAAAACTGCACATGAACTTTTTGAAAAAAATATATGTACATATTTGGTAATACTGCTGAGTGAAGTGAGGGCCTTGACATTGGATTCCATTCCCAGCCTTGGTTAGTTAGCTGGAGACAGTGTCTCACCAAGGCTGACTTCTGATCTGCTACTCACTGGACTTAACAGATAGACGCCACTGTGCCTGGCTCATGTCTAGAAATTTAAAGGAAATGTAGTTTAAGTTTGACTTGCAGAAATTATTTAACTATGTAGAGTGTTTTAAGCTTAGGGTTTTTTAAACATTATTTTTATATATCCCTGTTAAAGTATTTTTAAAAACTAAATGGTCTTATTTACCTTTCATATCACAGGTATTTGTGTAATACCTAAACATATATGTATAGCTGTTCTCTGCTTCAATACAGCATACGAAATTGTGTATTTTAAAATGGAAAATTCTTTCTCAAAAGTCAGTGTAGTATATTTTAAACATGAATTAATCACAAAAACAAAAATTACCCTTAACTTCACATATCACTTTGATATATTAAGGAAAAGCTCAATTCTTATGTATGCATTAAAATATCCTAATTTATACTTTATTGCACTTACATAATTAAAATGCTCATGTATTGAAAGATCATCATTACTCTTTTCACTACAAACTTACAAGAGTTCTTGCTTTCTTTTTCTCTAACAGATATAAGCTTACCAAAGTCGGCAACAATATGCTACACAGCTGCCTTGCTCAAAGCAAGAGCTGTTTCTGACAAGTAAGTGAGTAATAACTTGTGTGGGACTAAGTGCCTGACCAGACCTGAGGAGATGTGTTGACTCTGAGGGCTTTCTCTGGAAGGGTCTCTCAGTCTGTGAGACCCCTGCCTATGAGCATGCGTGTTCCAAAACCTGCTGGTCTTTTCTTTCACTACTAGGAGGAGGAAATCTGTATCCCCAGTATAGAGTGGGTCTGTGGGTCCCCAGAGAAGGAGCTATAGGATATTTCATGCCTCTGAAGTGACTTTTTTTTTTTTTTTTTTTTTTTGCATATTCCTCTTCCTTTAGCAGTTCATAACTGGGTAATATAATGCGGCAAAGGGGATGGTCTTCTCCCTGTCTTTGCCTCAGTACTTCCAATTTAGCTTCCCAACTCCAGTTCTGCTTCTTTGAGATGCTATCTCAGTGGGACGTTTGCCTGTTTTATTCAGCCAGGTGACTGTGGCATATAGAATTTCCATAGACACCCAAGGATGACTGCTAGGCCCTGTGAATGAGTACAGATGGCGTAAATGCTTTTGACTTTATAAATGCTTACATTTCCCTGACACGGTCCCTCTGTAGCATTGCAAAGCAGAGAATAGGAAAAACACCTGCTGTGTCAGACAGGTTTGCTGTTAAGTGTGTGTGCAGTTTAAGACCGAAGTAATTTTCTTTCGTTCTTTTTTATCCTGTAGATCGCCAGTACCTACTGCAACATCTTTTCTCCCTACACAGCGACTCCAGCTTGGGAGGGCAGGGCCAGGGTTGTCACAGCTTCCCCTGTGGTGTCTGCCTGCCAAGCACAGCTCTGGAGTTAGCCCTGGGTGTGAGGTGAGAAAGAGATTGCATGGTCTGGTTTTTTTCATTCACGTAGGCAGGCGTCTCGCCCACAATCTGGGCACGCACACCCCTGCCGGAGCAGCCCCAGCAGGCTCGCCAGCTGCTGCCGCTCAGCGGCTTAACCCTCCATCACGCACTGACTTGGGTTGGGAGCCTCCTGTACACTTCTCCCCAGTTCGGTTTTTAACCAAGTGCGCCCTTCTGTAGCTTAGTTTTCTCTTTTTCCTACACTGTCCGCCCTTGTCAGTCCTTGCCCTTGTCCCCACCTAAGCAGGCACTTTGTAGAGCATTTAGATTAGCTATTTAGACAGAAAGACTTGACAACTGAATTGAGTTCCTGCCGCGATTAGATGCAGGCACGCTTTCCGCTTTGCTGGGCTTTCTGTCGGCCTTGGTCCGATGGGTCACTCAGAGGTTCCATGCAGTGAAAGTTTGGAGAGCTCGTGCCGTTGGCTGGTGCCGTTGGCTCACTTTGGTTTATGGGCCCTTGATGTGCAGATGCCTTGCTGGGTTGATGCCCAAGCAGTGGTCCCAACTGGATGGTGTTTTTCTTTCTGCTTTTCAGATTCTCTCCAGAGGCTGCATCTCGGCGGGGGTTGAGCACCGCAGAGATGAACGCAGTAGAGGCCATTCATAGAGCTGTGGAATTCAATCCTCACGTGCCAAAAGTGAGTCTGTGGAATCCCCCAGGAGCTCATTTACAGTAACAGAGAACGTGTTCACTGACCACAGTGTCGTATCTCTAGTATTCCCAGTTAAAAAAAAAAACAAAAACAAAAACAAAAAAACCTGCAATCAACAAATGTGGAGCCCTGTAGAGTTTATAATCATTGAGCCTTCTTTTTAAAGTGAAAGCTACACTCAAGAGACCTTGGGGCTGATGGTCAGGCTGCACATAAATCCATAGAGCACACTGGCAGTCCAGGTCAGGAAGGCTGAAGTTGGCTAGATAGAGACACAAAGAGACAGACACACACAGAATGGAGAGAGATCCATCCCAGGACTTCATTCATTTGATTCCAATTTCATATCAGTTACAGTCTTTATAGATCAGACTCAGGAAATAAACCTTGCAGATAAAACTGGTAAAAATTATTGACAAATAGGACATTTCATGTCTCTGTAAATAAATGGTAGTTAATTGGTATTGGCAAGAAAATAATAAGGAAAATGTCAAATTTAGTAGTATTTTGTTGTGTAATCACTATTTTAGGAAATATTTGTCTTAGTTATTAATATATGGTTCTTCAGTTTAGAAGTATTTCCTGTATTTTATTTTTCTGAAATTGATATTCAGGGAATCAAATTCAAGCAGAGAGAATTTCTATAGTCTTTTGTTCAGGAGGTAGATGTGTATTTACAGTTTACCTAGGCTTGAGTCCCTGCTCCATGATAGGTATGTAGCTGAGGGCGCATAGCTGTTGATACTGTGTTTTAATCTCTAAGAAATTATTCCTACAGTTCACATCAGGTATGCGAGGCATAACTTGATGAAGCTTTACTGATTAAAAAAATGACAAAGGAGGTTATTGTGTAATTACAGTAACATAGCAAGGAGTGAGATGTGTGTATATGAGGTGGTTTGTAGAGTTGCCTACTGTATTTTTTTTTTTTTATCTCTAGAGTGACAGATAAATGACCTAATATGTAGTAATCCTTGAGGTTTTACTCAAGTTAAGGTCATTTTTCACTTAAGAGAGAATTAGACTGGTGCACAGGGCCGTGTTTCCGTACGGATGCACTGATCAGGCCGGCGGGGTAACTGAGCAGACTAAGTGCCTGCTTAGGCAAGTGCGGGGACCGGGACTCTGCATGCCGCACCAGCCCGACCCCGGGCGCACCGAGCAGACCGCTGAAACTGAGCGTGGTAGTGCGGGGACCGGGACTCTGCATGCCGCACCAGCCCGACCCCGGGCGCACCGAGCAGACCGCTGAAACTGAGCGTGGTAGTGCACACCACACTCACAGGGAGGCTGAAAATCAGGAGAATCACTATGAGTCAGAGCTGTGCAGTGAGACCCTGTATACATTTAAAAAAAAAAAAAAAAAGATACACTGATCTGCTCTAGCTCTAGTAACAATAACCAATAGCATGTACAGACTCAAGTACTAGGGGCCCTTGAAATTAGGAATCAAGTCTGACTATTCTAATTACCCTGAAGGGAGCCTTATAATCCTGAGGCAGAAGGTAGAAAATCTGTACAATTCTTGTTTGTTGGCTATTTTGGTTGAAGTATTCTTTAATTCTATGATAATGGTTTGAAATCATTGGCACTCTAGCAGATTATTGAAACCCTCAGAAATAGTTTCATCTGCCTTAGAAGAGTTTGATGCAGTCATTTGGCGTTCCTGGAAAGAATTATTCTAAAAGTGAAAACACTTCAAATATTTTTATTTACATTTTTTAATGGAAACACAGTGCTCATATATACTTTGGGGCACATGTCAATACTTATACACAACACATAACAATAAGACTTAATTTACCATTTTCTAATCTAGAAAGCGTCACAAGGTAGATTAATTGCTCAACACTCTGCTTTGTTGTTGACTGTGCTGAGCATGAAGTCTCTTCATCTCTTCATGCTCCCATAGGGAAAGGGCCCTCTGAGTCACTGGTCTCCTTGTTCAGAATTTACCACAGAACCCTAGTACACATATACTACATGTAGGGTACAGAACCATCTTTTACATGGAGCTTCAGTTTGTTGAATTACTTGACAGTACTTCAGCAAATACATAGATGCTAATTCATGCCTTCCTAGACAGATGATGCCCTTAATTTAGAAGGATTTTTTTTTCCTGTCTAGTTCTGGCTGCCTTAAAGGTGGGTGTGGTGCAACTTGTGGGGCTGGGGATTGAACTGTGGTCCCCTGTACCTGACTGCATTTGCCCCCACATGGCACTTTAACCAACTGAGCTATTGGGCAAGTCCCGATGCCCAGTTAATTTAAGACATCAATGAAGGATACAAACTCTTGGATACTTAGTGTAAAAAGAGGCCTTAAAGATCATCTGTGTCACCTTCCCATTCTGCTGATAGTGTGATAATTAATATTATTGATTTCTATACTAACGGACGTATACAGTCTCAGCTATTTTTCATAAGACATTGTGACATTATCGTGTAATTACCCCTGTTACGTAGGGCACTGAGGGTTTGGAGAGGTTGAGTAACCTGCATTTGACTCTTTTGGCAAATAAATGATAGACTAAACTGACTGGGTTCTCCGCCCTTAAATATCACCCTCCACTGCTTTCAAATGCTCCCAGGAGCAAAGCCTCCACTCTTCAAGTGATGCCGGGAACACTGCTTCTCAACCCGCCTACCCATGGGCAATTCAGGCTTGTCACAGCATTAAGTGCTTCTGTGACTCCTTTTACTCTACCAAGGAAGTTGGCAGTGGCCCACCACAGGTGTTTTTGGTATTTACTTGCTATTTTACCTAATCACAGTTCCCTCAGAAGAAGAACACACCAAGTGTGATAGCCCACGGAGGTCCAGCACTTTCGTCTGGTGTCCCACTAAGCACAAATGCTGCTGGTATCTCACTGTTCTGATGGTTATTAGCTATTTACCCCAGAGGGTGACTCTTGGGAGCTCTCTTCTCCTGGAGAGAGCAGGTGGGCTGAGGAGGAGGAGCAGGAGCAGTAAGCCAGCGGCTGCTCCTCACCTCACCCAGGACGGGCAGGGAAATAAAAACAGTAAAAAGCCCAAGTCTTTGTTCTGAAGAACAGCCTTTTAGGCGGGGAATTAGATGTAAACACTAGGATTTCTGAAGTGTTAGGCTGCAGCGGATTAGTAAGGAGGAAGCAGACACAGACTCAGCCTCGCAAATCGAGTTTGTTACTCCCTGCCACAATGCTGCAGCTGTGTCCCCGGCTCCCACGGGTGAACATATAAACTCTTCAGTTTCTCCATGACGCCTCCTAATCTGACCCAGCTTGTTTGCATTTTCAGCATTCTCGAAGCATCCTCCCCTCTTTCCCTCTTTGCTTCCTCTACAGAAATCCTACCCATCCTTTACCCCCTTTATCTACCCACCACCTGGAAGTCTGCTTCTCCCCTCTTCATCAGAATTAGTCTTCCCCTCTTGGTCTCTCAGAGCATTGATTATGTAGTTGCTGGGTTTGTTTGTTTTTTTTTAAATAGTTGTAGGTTTTTGGATTTTAATAATCAACTGGTGGTTTGTAAGAGCTGAGCAGACAAGTCAAAAACAAATCTCTAATCCATTAAAGGAATCTTCCCATATGAAGTTTTAAAGGGATATTCTCCTTTTCTTTTCTTTTTTTTTTTTTTTTTTTGCAGAACCGGGGATTGAACTCAGGCCCTTGCGCTTGCTAGAGAAGCTTTTATTCCACTGAGCCATCTCCCCGGCCCCGATATTCTCCATTTTTAAAAGAAGAATTTCACTGATGATACTGGGCAAAGGCAGGTCTACCCTCATGTCAGTTCTGTATCTTCATCTTTGTATTATAGCTTATTGGATTTTGTTCCCTTACAGATAGGGCTTTTGGGTTTCCATTTGCCCTGCTCTTCCTCAGCAATTTTAAGATCTACACTGGTGGGCTGGTGAAGGTGTTTCCATCAGAGATCCATTATTTTATATGTATCTGAGTTAGCGTGTATGTGCTCCTGGCACTGTAAGGCCTTCCTGTCAGCTCCTGGGCTGTGACAGAAAAGAAGCTAAATTCTGTGTGATTCCAGCTCCACTCCCATTGAACAGCAAGCCCCATATCCTCCTTCCCCGGCCTCAGGCAACAGATAACTCGTGTAAATAAAATCCTGAGTATGTGCAACTGACTTATTTCGCTCACCATGTCCTCAAGTTTCGTCCATGCAATAGCCTGTGACAGGGCTGCCTTCTTTTGGAAGGGCAAATAATATTCCATTGTATAAATACAACACTTTTTAAAAATTCCTTTCCCCAGGGATAGTGAGGTTGTTTCTACCTTCTGGCTATTGTGAATAACGTATCTTTTGAAGATGCTGTTCTCACTTCTTTGGGATGGATGTCCAGGAGTAGGATAGCTGGGTCGTGATGGTGGATGCTCTTTTGTTTCTGAGGAACTTCCAAATCGTTCTCATTTGTGAGCCCCAGCATTGTACGACACAAAAGTACCCAAGGATTCTCATGTGCCTGTATGCCCGTAAATGAAAAGCTTCTGTGTGAATCTCACCCCAAAGGGGAACATTCTTGCTAGTTTCTTTATTTTTTTATTATAATTTTCTTTTATTTTGAAGAGTAAAAGCAAGAGCAAGAAGAACAAAGAGCAAAGATAGAAACAGGATAACATGTGACAATACATACGTTACAGATTTTCAAAATAAGAACAACTGATTAACAGTGATTGATATATTATTTATTTTTATCATCAAATCTGTTGTTCAGATTAACATACAGTCATGCAAGATGGGACATATGATTGAATATTACCACATGCATTCAAGAAGTGTTAAATTTTTGTTCTTGACTCTCATTTTCTTTTATTACCTTTTTTTAAAAAAAATTACTTTAAAGACAGTATAGTAAGAATTGATGACATTGGAAGACCAAGATAGCAGGTATTTGAAGAATGGCTTTAGTATTTTCTTCATAGCAGTGACCCTGACATATGCATAGAACCGTCCTATTGTGGTTTTGATTTGTTTTCTCACCTGTTGTTT